TCCGCATTAAATTGGTTTTGTTGTACACATCGGTGCTGGCATAAGTGGCAGTGGGTTGAAAATTTACGCATGGCTTATCCCCCCATTTTTCGATTGCAAAAATGTTTTGCCGTTCAAATGAAATGCGAGAGACTAGAGGCGACACACACACACATAAATTGCCGTCGAAAATGCCATTTTTAGACAGTAATATATGGATTTTACCTTTGCTACCAAACGTGACACACGTAGAATCATTCAACGCACCGTCACATGTTCCATTCTCTCAATTTATACAATTTTTATTTTTTTTGCTCCCATTTGATTTTGAACACAGAAACAAATCTAAATGTAACATTGGCATATGCATGATACGCACATTTGAACATATATCGAGGGCAGGATCATTTATCCGCACAATCCAATGGAAAATGTATGTGAAATATTCGGTTATTTTCTTCTTCTAGTACTTTAAATAAGAAAAACAAACCAATAATTTATGCATTGAAATCAAATATTGAAGTGGAACATTCCATTATGGTAGAAAGTCACAAGCCATTTTCTCTCTCAGCAGAAGAAGAAGAAGAGAAAAACATGTTTCGATTATTATCGTTTTTTATCACTTTCAACCAACGACTTTGCTCATCTCAACATTTGACTAGACGCATTTTTCTTATGGCTAGAACATTCGATTGCGCATTTCTTTTCGAAATAAATGTAAAACACGATTGAACTCAGTAGGTTGATGATCACAAAAAAAAATGTCAAATGATGCATTTGGGCTCATTCGACGTCGTGAAATCGCGACGGATTTTTTTTTTTCGATATTTTCTTGTTATTCAAGCATTTTTATTTGTGTTCATTGTTTGTCACACAATTTTCTGGCGTAATGTATTCGAAGTTGGATTATTTTGTTAGAAAAAAATCTCGTGCAAAAAGACCATTTTCCACAATTTTTCCATTTGAGAACAAAAAAAACGACACCATTTTCCACATTTACTCTTTCAATATTTTACTTATTCGATTAGTTTTTTTTTTCTCTCTCTCGTCTGATTGTCGTTTTATGTAATCACAATTTAATTAAGTAACTTGGAACGAACAAATTGTATTTCACCGCCCATTAATGCCAATCGAAACAGGATCAAACATGTGTGGACACTTCCGATGGCATTAGAAATAAAAGGCCATCATCAAAATTACATTGAATTCAAAAGGCATTGCAAAACGAAGCATTGATCGAAAAGGGAAAATGCAATTTACTTTTTGCCCGAAAAAAAAGTATCGAGAAAAAGAGAGAGAGAAAATAAATGAGAGAAGAAGAGTGAGCAATTTACGAGCATTGCGATTATAGATGAATCGTGTGTGCACGATTTTCGATGTGGGTGAAATAAATATGGTGATGCTAGAAAAACCAACTACTTAAATAAAATGGAATCAACTTGTACTATTTGTATTTGCCGTGTGCAATATGTGCTCAAGCATCTGTTCTCTTTTCAGCTCTATACGAATCGGAAATTATATGGCAACGAAAAAAAATTGTGTATGTGAGTGACTGAAAAGTTTTTGCTGAATGAGAAATAGTTTTCCCAAAAGTCCAATTTTTGCACAACAAAATTTATGTATATGTGTTAACATCACTCCATTTGCTTTGGCCAATGTAATGCAGACACCTCTCTAACCAATGACGTGAATCGAATGGATTCTTTTATTATATATACCAAGAATATCTGATGCACGAATTCAATTTCTGATAAAATTGATAATTTAATGCGCATTCACCATTTCTTCCTACAAAAAAAGAAAGAACCAGCAAAAAAAGCGAACAATTATTGAAAATGTTTTTTTTTGTGTTCATCGGTTTTGGAATATTGTTCCTTCCTTTTATGATAAACAAATCCGGTTCGAATTGAAATTGACGCCTCTCGTGCGCGTTTTATGAATACTTAAATTCTTATTTTAACAACTCTTCTCAAACCAACAACAACAACAAAAAAATTCTTAAACTAAACAATTTGGACACGTAGTTATTATTCACTGAATGGTAATCAAATCGAAAGTGTTATCACGTCTGTACGTAACAAAATGAGACTCAGTCAGATCACGAAGAAAACAAAAACAACACAAAAGATGGGAGAGAGAAGAAAAAAAAATCCGTGGGATTGATTGATTGCTTAGAATCGAACGACTACAAAATACGCAATTTGTGGGAGAAGCGCACTTCAACCGGCATATTGAGAGAAAAAAGAGAGAGCAAAAATGACTTTAATTAATATGCGACCAGTAATTTTCTTGCTGCTTGTGGAATTATGTGTGTGCTTAGTTTTCGAATAACGTCTTATGAACTAAGTAACTGAAATTGTGGCTACAAAAAAAAAACACGACCAGTCACTTTGAGTAATTGTACTTGCAACACTGTCTTTAGGCCTCTCTCTCTCTATCGCTCTCTTTCTTACTCAGCGAATGAGAGAAAATGTAAATTAAAGGATAGAGATAACGTTCTAAACGAACGGAGCGTAAAATTTATGACACGGGTTGCCAAAAAGAGCAAAAAAGCAAGAAAAGAGAGGCACCAGCAATACAAAACACTGACAGGCAAATATATACACAATTGCTATTTTATGACTGCCAGAGAGTGATGTCGAAGATCGTAAAAAAATAAATATTGTGTCGCTTGTACACTCATACACACACACCAAACGAGCAATTGTACCGAGAAACGAATTTTTGTTGTGCAATCAAGGAAGAGTTAAATAGCGCACTTACTTGACGTAAATAAACAAATAAAAAGATGAAAGAAGCATAGACGAAAATGCCAGAGAAAGAGAAAGCAAACAGGCGACTCGATAGTGTAAATGAAGACATAGTAAAGTTTAAGTTAAATGAAGAAAAGGACCATTGAGATTTTTGTTTCGTTTTTTTTTCACCATTTACTCCTTTTTTCCACTTCTTCTTTGATTGTAAAAGTTTTCTTTTCGCTTGAAAGAAACTCTTGGTCTACATTTGATTCTATTCTTCTTTTTTATCTTTTTATTTCAGCTTTCCATGAATATTTCAGGTAAACAGTGAAAGATGTTGACAAATCTTGACAAATCTTGCATATATTGTAAACCATTTCGAAAGGGTTCAACTCTGTGACAGTGAGTTTCCTGCTGTCATTGATTGTTGTAAGGTTGCGTATTGTTTTTTTCCGGTTTTTCACACCTTTTTCAAGCCTTTCGTATTGATCCAACAAAACAACGAAAAAAAAAAACACAGAACTTGATCAGAAACAGCACGGAAGCAACTATTTCTAACAACAAAAAAAACATCGAACACGTACATTACGTTTATACACGCATGAAGATAAATTGCTTGAATTGCTTAGTTTGTGTCACTTGAGCTACACCATCGAAACGACAAACAGCATCGAATATAACATCAGTCATATTTGATTGTTGCGAACAACCAAATATATAATAATGAAATCAATATTCAAGTCGACGATATAATTTTAATTTCATAAATGGTTGTTCACGCTCACTTTTCGACTCAACATTGAATAACATTGAATCGACTTCCAGTCATACGCAATACATGCAAATAAAAAAAAATCCAACAACAACAACTAAGAAACAATGCAGACATGTTCCATTTTCAAAAGCATAAACATAAATCAACTTCACGTTCAAAACTAATAAAATAATACATTTGGTATACGAGTTAGAAGTTAGTGTGTGGTTTTTACGATGAAACTGTGTGCGGCGACGGGGCCATAGTATCAGCCTACATCATCCCAAAACGATACAATTTCATTCCATTTGAAATATGCGTTGAAAGCCACACATTGGACAGTTTGCTAGATATTAGATAATTTAATTTCAAAAACTGCTGAAATTAGATTCAAAACAGATGAAATTCATTGTGAAAATTGGACGTATGGCGTTTTGTACCAAAAACCAACATCCCATAGATAAGCTTATGGGTTTTACGATAATTTTGCAACGAGCATAGAATACCCTCATCTCATTCAACGGGCCAGCCAAGTTGATGAAAACCATGTTTGGTGATTTTGTCACATTAAAAACTTTCTTTTTCCAGAATGTTTCAAGTGAAAAATGTGTTTGATAAATGGCGCTCTCAAGCACTTGAAATGTTCCTATTTTTGACACATTTAATTCATTTTGAACATGTTTATGTTCACATTTCTCCAATGCGTCGCAATTTTTTTGTTTGTTTATTTGGAAATATGAAGGAAATATTTCTCTGAGAAAAACATTGAATTTCGATATATGGAATTTGTTAAAGGACTTGTTCCAAAATCTCGTCATCAATGTTTAGATAGTTTCATATGAACGTGAAAAATAATAATAATAAAAAAATCTCGAGTATCAGCTTGAGTCGATTGGCCAACAAGCCAAATGCAAAGTCGTAAAAATGGAATTGAGTGGCAAGTTATACATTGTTACTCGATGGAGAAAGAGAAAGAAAAAAGAAGAAGAAAAAAAAACATGAGAACATAATGGAAAAGCTGCCAGCGAATCAAAAAATTTCGTGCATAAACTTGTCGAATAATTTGTATTTTCTTTCTCTTGTTTAATCGATTTTTTCCCGTTTCGATATTCCGTTTTTTTATTATTTTTATTTTTTTTTTCTATCTTTCTCTCGACGGTCGCATTTTTTTCGTATTCGAAGTGAGAGCTGCGACGAGAAAGAAAGAGATAGAGCGTTGGGCCGAGAGCAGAGCATTTCAGTACGTGCTGTTGATATTTTTAACATAAGTGCACATAAATTTTAATTTTACGATTTACATTAGGGCAATATAAAGCCTTCGGCAAATCAATATGAACAAAACCAGCCAAAGATGCGGGAAATTATGCAAAAGCAAAAGCAAATGAAGAAAAGAAATGACGAAAAATCCAGCTCGACCATCTTTCTTTGCAATCGAAAAAAAAACTTCTTATTACTAAATAATTAACATTATTTTTCTTTTACGCTTTCTTTTCAACATTTAACACAAACGAATGTATGTTTTGTATTTTCAGATGGGTGCCGCGTTTGATAAGCAAGGTAAAGGTTGAATTCGGTCATTCAGCGCGTAAAACGTGCACATCGGAACAGAGAACGAAAGACAGCGGAAAATATGAGGTAAGATCTCATCATTGAATTCATTGTAAACAGCAAATCGATTGGTTTCATGTTTCCGAATGTATAAAATCGACTTAAAAAATCATTTATAGATGGAAATTGTACTTGTTTGCACACTTTGTAAATGAAGTGTAATCAAGAGTAAAAGAGAAAATGATCGAAAGAGGAATGAACGAATAGAAAATGTTTCCCAAATGTAATGTTATGTAAAGTGAACGCGAAATACCTCTTGAAAGTGCACTCTATGTGTTCGTGTGTCTGACAGAATGATATTTTAGCGATTCGTTTTGGAATTGTATTCCGTGTGGTTTTTTCTCTCTCTCTCTTTCCATTTACCGGAAAAACATCCCAGACAGAAATGGCTTTAAAGAATCTTATTACGAATTATTTATTATATTTTCTAATATTTCGACACGTGAGAAGACTCGAAGTGTCATAAAAATTGAACAGAGAAATGCCCTAAACACGTGTAAAATGCAAAAAAAAAACAACAACGACAGTTTCGTCCGTCTATTCATAGTTGGTATATTTTTCGTTCATTTCTTATTATAATTTCAATCGAAACGAAACAGAGAACGAAGAACAGTATTGTGCGGAGTGAAGAATGAGAAGCGGGTGTGTGAATGCATATGTATTGGTGTGCTCGTTGCCTGTTTAACAAATGGCTGCCGTAGTGAGCGAGCGCAGATAAAATATATACTACGTCAATCGTCGATGGGAATGGTGTGTACAAGTATGGTTGCCAAATAGCAAATCACCATAGCAACCATTGAATCGAGTACATTTCTTCGTCGGGTCTTCTCTCATTTTCGATCTGATTCTTTTTCTCTATTCAGTCGACGCATTGCTTAGGCTCAGGAAAAAAGCAACAAAGATAGACACACAGAGAAATGTAATCTCTTCGTTTTATTCATTTTTTAAGGTCTGTGTGGCAGTGCTTTTTTTTGTTATTTATTTGTTTATAAACGTATTATATTTTCGGTCTCTATTTTCTATTTGCTCGGGTAAAGAGATAAAATTACAAACGATTTTCGGAGACAGAGAAAGCCAAAACGTTTTTTTTGTTCGTGTTTGCACTATTTTGGCCCCATGTCTCTTCTGTGAACGAATGCTCTGTTGGGCTTATTTCGTTCATATCGATGACTGTTGTATAAAACCAAGTATGAAAATATGTGTAGGAAATACAAAGGATCATGAATAAATACCATATATTTATTTGTTCTTTCGTTGCGATGGAATTTTATTTTTTCGTTCGAATTTATTGATTTTTTCCTTCGTCACTGTCTTTCTCTATCACACCATTCGCATTTCATCGCCGCACTCAATGACCGAATCGTGCAGATGCTTCACTTGTTTCTAGCTGAAAATGTGCGACTGCGGCCGTTGTTGTTGCTGCTGCTGCTGCTGCTTCTCGATATCGAACTGCTTCTTTTGCAATAAAAAACTTTTTAAATAAATTGTTGTTTTTCCTTTTGAACGACGGCTCTTTTTTGCTCGTCTTCTTTTCCATTCGTTTGGTATGTTCATAAAATGTTGGTTGCATAAAAGCGCGAGGACGCACAATGTTTGTTCTTACAACATAAAAATGCTGCTATTTTTGCTAATTTCTTTCAACATGATTTTCGCAAATTGCGATTTTCCCTACTCTGCTCTTGGTTTTCCTGTCTGCCGCTTCTCTTTGTGCTAGAGATGGTTATTTGCCACGCCCAAATCAGCTTGTTTGTTATACTGGTTTATTTCATGTAATTTAAACTAAAACAAATGAAAAAAAGAAAAAAACCATCGAACGATTCAAACAGCCTACATATAATATTCTCTTATTTCTTGTGTCTCATTTACGAAAAAAACAGCGTACACGATAAGCTGCTCTTAACCAATAAATTTCTTGGGATAACGTTATTTTTTTTTACTGTCACACCAAACCAACTTATCTGTTTAGCTTATTTTTTTTTTGCGTTTGTTCTCATCTCTTTGAGCATACATGCACACACTTCAACATTCCATGAGTGGTATTTGCATTTCATTTATTTAGTGTGTATGTTTTAACCGCACCGAAAAAAAATTCAATTCAGTTTATGACTTCGATTAGGCAATAACATTTTTTAGAGTGCTGAATCAACTAAGGAAATTGCATACTCTGTTCTTATGATTTACGACTATCGACCAATGTTTTCTTTGCAAGTCATTCACGGTTTAATGTAATTAATTTTTTATACCGTTAAAAAACCATTTTCCGGCGAGTGTAAGAAGCTTTTTTTCTTTGAGCCAATAAATTAATTGAATTATTGACATTGAAGAAGAGAAGATGTTCGATTGAAGAATAAAAACAATGATTCTTTGAAATTGAGTGTTTTCCATTCTTACCTTGAGCTTCTATTTTTACCTCTTAATTTTTCACCTTTTAAGGAGCTGATTTGTATAGCATGAACACCTTGATTATTATTGTGATTTCAACCAAATCACATGAAACATTAACGATATGTTCGAAGAATGATGTTGCTATTGGCCAAAGACGCATATTTTGCAAATATACAATGGCCAATTTCAACTTGCTGATTGCCAGGTGCATCCGTGTTTGCCAAGATGTGTATTTGATGCTTTACTTAAATGTATATGCGCTATGTTGTTTACACTATATTTAAGATGTTGTTCGGTACATGAATAATTGCCCATCCTTCTCTCAGCTGTGTTCATTACTTTGCGTCCGCAATAAATATAGCCCCGGCGTTCATTCACATGGAAATAATTTCAATGCTTTGCCGGCAATAAAATTCATTGAATGATGAGCGCAATTTTCGTAAAGTATATAATGAAACCACATGAGACTAATGACAACAAAAATAACAACATGCATCACACAAGACAAAGTCACTGCTGCGATATGATAAAATTAATCTCACGACGTCTATATGAGTTCATCTGCAGCATTTTTTTTTTCATTCCTAGAATATACAAAGAAATTGAGCTATGAAAAAAGTCGAACCGTAGATTAACCTATATCTCGACAACTTTGTATTTGAAATGAAGCAACAAAAAAAGAGAAACTCCATTGTACTTTGCATTCTGATTTGATTGTCGTGCAAATTCTATGTGACAATAAAGATAAATGTTCGCTTTTAAAATTCCTTGAAGTTATTCACATTCAAAATTACAAAACCATTGATACGAATTTAACATTTAACCCCCAGTATTTGTGAATGAAGAGAGATACCTATGTGTAACCTCAAAACATTCGGCGAATGAATTCCACTTTTGATGAAAGTGCACAATCCTTTTGAAAATGGCAGAGAGAGCGAGAAAGAGATGGAGAGAGTCAAAAAAGGAAATAATGAAGACAAATGTCATAAATGTTGTCAGAATGACGAATAAATTACACCGTCAAAATGATTCAATGTCCACTAAAGTCACACGAATCATAAAATCAGACACACAGAGCAGTGCAAATACACCATTAAGAAAATGTTTATTAGGTTATTTCAGTATTTTTCGCTATTTGGTATGCAAGTTACGTTGTTAACACACAGACATACGCGCGTACACACACCGGCTCTCTCATGCTTGACAGAGCCGGTACGAGAAAAAAAACACATCGATTTTTCTTTGCTGATCTATTTAAAAAACGATATAACGCAACATTAATGCTGTAGTTTATATTTAGATGATGGTGATTTTTGTGAATGAATAAAACATGTTAAATGCTTTGAAGCACCTCATAGTAGACAGTGATTTTAATTTTATTATCTCTCCTTCTCTGTATATCTCATTTACAATTTTGTTTTTCATCTTAAATGCAAATCAAAAAAATCATTCATTTTTCTGCTTAAGTTAATTGTTTTGCATTCATTTTATATTTTAAGTGAGATTTTATGCGCGTTATGAACTTTTCCTCTCTTTCTTCCGTGTATGCCATTGTAAAAACATTACTAGGCGGCCGCATCACACCATATACCGTATCTTCACAATGTTGTATATGGTGACGCTTGTTCGACATTTTTAATGTTTGTATTACAATATGTGTATGAAATTGTAGCTTTTTCGGCAGTGCGTTGAACTATACATTGCATGTGCATTTGGTTATGGTTCGCTGAGAAGTCCTCAGCAAATGGAGAAGCCAATGTTTTTTTTCTCTCTCGTATTCCTGTCGATTCTTATAAGAGCACCAAAAAAAGACCTTTTCGATGTATAACTAGATTTAAGTAAACACAAACCTTTAAACTTTTCCGTTTTGCAGAAAAAAGCCTTTGAACTTTTGACCATTTTTATTACGAAATATTCATCTATTCTCAACATTTTTTATCTTTATAAATAAAAACACAATTTAAAGCTTTTTATATTATGATTTCAGTTTGATTTTTATTTATTTATTTTCAATTCAGTTTATTTAAATTTAAAAAGAAAATTGGAAAATTTAATGGGTAAATTCAAATTGAAAATGTAAAAATTCTATGAACCTTGAAGTATTGTGACGTCAAAGAAAATGGCTGTTATATTGGGAATTGGATCTCGATCATCGGAAGCTGGGTGTCAACTCGTGTTACGTATACTGAAGGTATACCGGATAGATAACACTCAGGATACATTCAGTATACGTTTACGAAGTGCCACAATCACATCGAATGGAAACGCTCCCCAATGAGCGCGCCGGCTGAAAACAAAATATAAATATATATGGAAATTGGTAGATTTTGATCGGCCATTCTGTGCCCCTCGTCTTATTAACCGTAGTCTTCTTTTTCTCTTTCATTTAGCTGCATGTGCTTTGCTTTCGCAATTGAATATGCCTGTAATGGAAAGAAGCAAAACAAAATAAGTCGTTTCTTTTAGTGACCAAAATTCTTTTTCTCCAAATTCTTATCAAAAGTAAATCAAATGAAAAAAAATAATAGAAGAAAAAAGACAATTTAAAGATAGAGAGAGAGAGAGAGAGAGAGAGAAAGAAACCCATACGACATGTGCATTCATTCGAGATATTTATCAAAATTTCATTTATTTTACTCTGG